CCACTGTCCCCGGACCTCTTTTGAAGCAAGGGGCGGCGGGGAGAAGCGATCATCTCCCCGCAGCCCCAGGTCCGGGGACAGCGGGAAGTGCAGCGCTTTCTTCCCCACTGTCCCGGACCTCTTTTGAAGCAAGGGGCGGCGGGGAGAAGCGAGCATGCTCCCCGCAGCCCCAGGTCCGGGGACAGCGGGAAGTGCAGCGCTTCTTCCCCACTGTCCCCGGACCTCTTTTGAAGCAAGGGGCGGCGGGGAGAAGCGAGCATCTCCCCGCAGCCCAGGTCCGGGACAGCGGGAAGTGCAGCGCTTCTTTCCCCGCTGTCCCCAGACCTCTTTTGAAGCAAAGGGGCGGCGGGGAGAAGCTATCTTCTCCCCGCAGCCCTTGCTTCAAAAGAGGGGACAGAGCGGCACTTCCCCTCTGTCCCCCGGACGGTCTCTCATAGGAACGCATTGATTGATTTTCAATGCATTCCTATGGGAAACCGTGCTTCGCAAGACGAAAAACTCGCAAGAAGAAAAAACTTGCGGAACGAATTAATATTCGTCTTGCGAGGCACCACTGTATTATATATCTATGTACGTGCTTGGTTGAGGGTAGGAGGGTCCCAATCCTGAATGCAATGCAAAAAACTCCCAATTATTTGAGAAGGGATCTAGTCTGGGCACTTGTTGGATCAGGATATTCATCTCCAACTCTCAGCTGACTCTGGCCTCTCTTCTCTTTCCCTCATCATCTCCCAACAGCAAATGTCACTCTGGATCCATACACAGCCGAAACCAGCTACATCCTGTCTGAGGATCGGAAAAAGTATGAGACTGGGAGAAAAACCTCGTGACACACGCGGCGGCTACTATTTTCCTGTGTTAGGACATGAGGGATTCACAGCAGGCAAACATTTCTGGGAAGTCAATGTGGAAAATGGAGGAGGATGGGTTGTAGGGGTCGCTGGGAAGGTCAGTAAGCAGGGATGGATCTCCCCTAAGTCCCGAGGGAGGGATCTGGGCTGTACAATTGAAACATGGTCAGCACAAGACCTGCAGTTCCTTTAATCCCCTTCTCTCCCTGAATGGGAAGCTCAAGAGGATCCGGGTGACTCTGGACTATGAAGGCGGATGTGTGTCTTTTTATAATGCTGACTCGGGAACCAAACTCTACACTTTCTCAGGAGCCTGGTTCAATGGAGAGACCCTTCTCCCTTTCTTTCGGGTGGATACAGTTTCTACCCACCTTGAGATCTGCTGAGGAGACTAAATCTGCCTCACCAGAATGACACATAACACAC